CACTGTGAAATGTGAAAAGCAGTTTATTTTCACTGTGAACTGTGACAGTACCCCCCCCCCTTACCCCCCTTATATAAGTGCTGCCTGGGATGGACTCGGGGCTCCATTCTACCCGGCGACCAGGAGAACCGACCGTGTAAGGATCAACCATCACAATACTAACAGTAATTTAATACTGTCATAATAATGATGCTATGTTTATATAATGTAGTAGTAATAATGTCTGTAACAATAATACTGTCAGTATAACAGGGGGGGGGGGTAACCCAATAACCCTCACCAAAATATAAAAAAGGTTATATGGGACAGAATTATTCGGTCTAAACAGTAACTTGAGTAGGACTACAGTAAACACACCAACACTGTTCAAAGCGTACTGACCTGACACGGTGTGTGACTCTGTGAGTGTGACAGTGAGGGACCGTGGCAACAGTGTGCGTCAGTAATTGTAAAATCAGTGAATATCAGATACAGAGAGCAAATTAAATTTTTGATGTCGTTGTTGACGATATGACCGCAGTGCAGAGCTATCAATTGCATTAACTTTGACTTCTTCTTCGGCACAGTTCCTTAGAAGTTGTGAAACTACATTTCCACAACGGGTGAGGCCATTTGCATTGTCGTGCGCGCCATCTAACGAGCGCTATAATAAACAATTCGAACGGCGCATTAGCGGGGACGTCATAGATATAAGATATAAGAAGATATAACCGTTTTATTTATCGCTTTCAATATTCATAGATATATAACCCTATAGGTCTCCTATTTTGATGACTGCATTGCCAACGAGTGTGCTTATCATACTTCTATCCACAGCACAGGCACTTGAGGCGTCTCAATAAAAAAAATAATGCTAAATAAACACGAAATGTATTTACTACCAAAGTCTTAATGTTTCTCTACTCTCTTTCGCCTATTATTGCTGATAATTTCTTGTAAATGCCGTTAAAATGCTCCTCTGCAGTACACAAGTACACCGCACGCACGCCGCTGTGCACAAACAACAAGAAAAAAAAGAACTGACTTAATTATTGACTTATTGAGAAAATTTATAAAAATTAAAAACGCATACATTTAATTTTAAATATTACTTGAAAAATTACCAGATATCAAAGAAAATATGTAAATGTAGATTTTGCACGATTGGGGAGCAAATAGCGCGTAGACTCATTAAATAAACTTCTTCGGCCTTCCACAGGGTGCAAATTATGACTGAAACAGTAGTCATTGATGGTGTAGAATATGATAGTATTATATTATTATGCTTATTGCAAAAGAATATTTCATCACCACAGATTATTCTTATTAGATGTACACATTGATTTATGAGATTTTTAAGACAGCAATAATAAGCAAACTGGGCGCTGCCATGGCACCGTGCGACTTGTGCTGCCCCCTGGCAAAGTTACGCTTTGGAATTTTTATATTTGTGCAGAGCACAACAAGAGGGCGCTGTCGACAGACCCACGCAGCAGCGCGACCGCCAGGAGGCGCCACTACCTACGAATGCGATGAACTGGTGGCGGATCGGAAAACAAAACAAAATAGAACCAAACTCGACTGAGAGAGAGAGAGTGCTAGAGCAGCTGGGAAAACTGTACGTGGGGCTGGTGTTGAATGACATCCACCACTACACTCACGTTCTCACTGGTAAGCAGGAGTAGAGAGGAAGGAAGGGAGCGCGGGAGGGAAGAAGGGAGGGAGGGAGAGAGAGAGAGAGAGAGACAGAGGAAGAGGGAGAGGAGGGGGAGAACTGTTAGACGGGCTGGTGTTGAATGACATCCACCACTACACTCACGTTCTCACTGGTAAGCAGGAGTAGAGAGGAAGGGAGGGAGCGCGGGAGCGAGGAAGGGAGGGAGGGAGAGAGCTAGGGAGAGAGAGACAGAGTGAG